TTAAACGGTGTTGTAGTTTATCAAATGCTTTCTCTGCATCTGTTGAGATAATCATATGGTTTTTGTTTTTCAGTTTGTTAATATGATGTATCACATTGATTGATTTGCGAATGTTGAACCATCCAATTTTGTTGATTTGTTTAATTTTAATCATTTCTTTTCTTCTACTGGTTTTTTATTTGGTTTGCTGCTGTTTTTCTAGATCTTTCAGATGCATAGATAGTTCATTTGTTTGGTGCCTTTCAAACTTCTTGATGTAGGCACGAATTGCTATAAATTTTCCTCTTAACACTGCTTTTGCTGTATCCCATAAGTTTTGACATGATGTTTTAACTTGTTTTTAGAATTTTTTTTTAATTTCTCTTTTGATTTCTTCTATGACCCAGTGTTCATTCAGGAGCATGTTGTTCAGTCTCCGTGTGTTTGCATATGTTCTAGAGATTCCTGAGTTTCTGATTTGCAGCTTCATTCCATTGTGGTCAGAGAAGATGTAGAGTATGATTTTGATTTTTTTGGATTTGCTTAGACTTGCATTATGGCCTAGCGTGTGGTCATTCCTAGAGGAAGTTCCATGAACTGGTTAGAAGGATGTGCATTCTGCAACTGTAGGATGAAAAGTTCTGTAAATATCTGTTAGGCCCATTCAGTCTATAGTGTTAGTTAACTCCGCTGTTTCCTTGCTAATTTTCTGTCTGGTTGATTTGTCCATTGCTGAAGGTGGGGTATTGGAGTCCTCCATTACTATTTTATTTTCTCCCTTTTGATCCCTTAACATTTCTCTTAAATAGCCAGGTGCCCTGTATTAGAAGCATATGTGTTTATAACAGTTACACATATATTCAAATCTGGCTCTGCTTCTGACTCCAGGTTGCTGAAGATGCAGACCCAGGCTACTTTGATGATCAAGTACTTGAGTCCCTCTCATATGAGTGATCTGTATTGAGTTCCTGCCCCTTACTCCAGCCAAAATCCAGCCCTAGCTGCTGAGGACATTTGGAGAATGAAATAATGGATGGGAGCTCTGTCATTCTGTCCTGCTCTTTCTGCCTTTTACATAAATAAATAAATAAATAAATAAATAAATAAAAGTTGATGATCAGATTAGATAGGTTATATTATAACATTAACTTGGCACATTAACAATTGGCCTTGATCAGTTTGGGTTATGATAATTAATATTTATATGCTTGAGAGTAGGTATTATGGCAAGCAGGTTAAGCCACTAGTTGGGAGGCTGGAATACCATATTGGAGTGTCAGTTCAAGTCCAGGCTACATGCTTCCAGTTCAGCTTCCTACTAATGCACCTAGGAACCAATGGATGATGGCCCAAGTATTTGAGTCCCTGCCACCCATTTGGGAGACATGGATGGAGTTCCAGGCTCCTGGCTTCAGCTTTGCCCAAACATGGCTGTTATGACCATTTTAGCAATGAACCAGAGGATGGAAGATCTCTTTCTAGTTCTTTATCTCTCCCTTTCAACCACATAAATAAATCTTTTTTTTTTTTTTAAGATTTTATTATTTGAGAGGTAGAGTTACAGACAGTGAGAGGAAGAGACAGAGATAAAAAGTCTTCCTTCTGTTGGTTCACTCCCCAGTTGTCCACAATGGCCAGAGCTGTGCCGATCCAAAGCCAGGAGCCAGGAGCTTCTTTCAGGTCTCCCATGCAGGTGCAGGGGCCCAAGCACTTCAGCCATTTTCTACTGTTTTCCTAGGCCATGGCAGAGAGCTGTCTTGATAGGGGAGAAGCTGGGACTCAAACTGATGCCTATGTGGGATGCTGCCACTGCAGGCAGAGGATTAACCTACTGTGTCACAGTGCCAGCTCCAATAAATCTTTAAAATATATTTATTTATTTATTTATTTTTTGACAGGCAGAGTGGACAGTGAGAGAGAGAGACAGAGAGAAAGGTCTTCCTTTTGCCGTTGGTTCACCCTCCAATGGCCGCTGCGGCCAGCGCGCTGCGGCTGGCGCACCGCGCTGATCCAATGGCAGGAGCCAGGAGCCAGGTGCTTTTCCTGGTCTCCCATGGGGTGCAGGGCCCAAGCACCTGGGCCATCCTCCACTGCACTCCTGGGCCACCGCAGAGAGCTGGCCTGGAAGAGGGGCAACCGGGACAGAATCCGGCGCCCCAACTGGGACTAGAACCCGGTGTGCCAGCGCCGCTAGGCGGAGGATTAGCCTAGTGAGCCGCGGCGCCGGCCGTATTTATTTGTTATGTTCTGAAATCTTCCAGCCACTGTCTGAGAGAAAGTCTGCATAAATAGTAGAATGAGAAGAGAATCTTCTGATGGTAGAAACTATTCTCACAAAGTGTTAATTACCAATACTCATAGTTTCAGGTGATTGTAATTAGGCTTTTTCTTTTCTTTTTTCCTTTCCTTTTCCTTTCCTTTTCTGGCCCCATTTAGAGAAGCCTGGTGCCCCTGTCTTTTACCTTGTTCCAAATTCACAGAGCTGTGTAGGCAATCATGGGCATGGATAGCAGGTAGGCCTGAACAGATCAAGCCATTGTAATAGTGGGTGTTTCAATGGAAACAAAAACTGGTGACCAGAGGGACCACTCAAGGCCCTGGTTCTAATCTTTGGAATAGATTCTTCTACTTACATTTCCAAAGAATGCTCAAAGTTGAATTAATCACAATGTAATTCATTTCAAGAAAATCAAAAGCAGTGCTAACATCTTACTGACCTGAATTTGTGGATAGAAATTCAGAAGTGCAATATAGAGATGATACTGTAAAATCATCCCAGTGAATCAAGATTTCATTGATAGCAGGATTTTCTGGGCAGAAAACTCTTAGAATTCATCTTTTGAGAATCTGAGAATTTTTCTTATAAACTCTATGTAATAAATATACTTATTTATTGATATGATATTTTATTCCTTTTGTAATCTGATGCTTACTTATTCTGTGATTTTAATTGACCTTCAAGTAACATCACAATTGTGAAACCAGAATGATTCATTCAGCTCCAAATCTTTGTTTCTTTGTAAACATGTAGCACAGGGAGGAGGGAGGAGATACCAGAAGTAGAAAATGGATAAAGCGAACCAAACATCTTGGCTGCCTTCACATAAAGTCAAGGATCACCTTGTTTGGAGAGTCACTTCAAATGCCTTTTATGCATATTTTCTTTTATTCTGTCTACAGAAAATTTTAGTCAAATGAAAATTTGAAGAAAGGCAGAATTCATTATTTAAGGTTGTAGAAAAAATACACTGAATTTTGCAGAGTAGTGTGAGTGCAGCAAAGGTGTTCTCATCTGTGTCCAAGCCATTTAAGCAGAGATGTAGCCATATTATATCATGTACAAGTAGACAGGCTTGGAGACCAGGGTTAGTTCAAGTTTTAAATCCAAAGAATAACCAAATATTCTGAGCTTAAGGGAGATGAGAGATAGTAACAGTCAATGTCAATTCAGGAGATATCAGAATTTGAGGCTGTATTTCACTGGTGGATATTAGCAGTTTAGTTATTATTGGAACGCAGCAAAGAGTACTGAGGGTTGCCAAGTGATCCTGTGGCATAGGGAACGGGCAGTTTGTGACAGAGTTGGAGTGTTGACGATCTGTCAGGATATTCAGTTCTATTCAAATTGTCAGTGGCAGAGCCTTAATTTTAAATCAAAAATATTCTTTTTCAGAAAAGAAAAGGACAAGCATTGGAGATTTGAAAGGTATAGATAAAGCACTTAAAAATCTTTCCTAGTCCCAGTTTTCAGAAATAATGCCCTTAAAATGTGACATATTGTCTTCTTTTCAGTGCAATGTATTTGACAACAGATTATAATATATGCTTTACTCTTCAGTTAACACATAAAACTCCTCAGTATAAGAATGACAAATTATGAATTAATACAAAATTCATATATTCCCTTTTAAATCACTTCATAATGGTCCTTTTTATCAACATATCTCAGATTAGACAATTATTACAAATCACATACTATGATATATCATTTTTAAAATCAATATTATGGAACAAGACCTTAAATTACATAAAATGTGCACTTTCATTTTGGACTTAATAATATATTTCTAAAAGTTACATAATATGTGAAAAGATATCATGACTCTAAGCCTCTGGGTTCATATTGCACAATGCTCTTAAACATCATTAACCCTTCACTCTCCACCAGGATTACACATTATTATTGCAAAACTAAAGAGTGAAGCTACAGAAAACATTTTGCCAAAGAGAAAGTTAAAAATGCAAACTAACTTCCCTTCAATTAAACTTCTGAATACTCAATAATAATTGATTCTGTGTGTGTATTTGTGTTGTCAAAGATAATCAAAGGCAGACTTCAGCATGAAAAAATAAAACTGTTGAAATCTTTACTTAATGTATGCTAAACTGATCTTCTGTATATAAAGAGAATTGAAAATGAATCGTGATGTGAATGGAAGGGGAGAGGGAGTGGGAAAGGGGAGAGTTGCGGGTGGGAGGGACGTTATGGGGGGGAAGCCATTGTAATCCATAAGCTGTACTTTGGAAATTTATATTCATTAAATAAAAGTTTAAAAAAAAGAAACTCATTTGCTATTTTATCAAGACCCCTATGGAGTCTATTTGTACAAAGCACTTGAATAGCTTCACATTTCATCATAAATGTTAGACTAAATTTTTAATAAATATCCTTTATTATCGCAACAAAAAAAGAAAAAAAAAGAAAAACAAGACATAGATGTTCGCAGGGTTGTAACTTAGTCATCAATAATTATTCAATCAATTTCTTCTAATACTTAAAAATAGCAAGTGGGAGATTCTAAAGAGAAAATTTAATAAATCTGGTTTTTAAGTGATTAACCTAAAAATTCTGCTTCATTTAAAGTAAGTGAACAGGATACTCATCTCTAAATATGGAATACTGCTTTAATTTCACTCCTCCCATATGTTGCTTAAAATTAGACAGGAATGTGGCTGTAGATTTCCTGTTATTTATATACCCTGTGAAGCCAGAGGAATCAGAGTGTGCTTAGAGGAGTGAAAGGCAATGGATCCCAAATTTCAGCGTGTGGCGTTAAGTGACGGTCACTTCATTCCTGTACTGGGATTTGGCACCTATGCACCTGAAGAGGTAACTCGAGTCGCTTTGTCTTGAGGGGGCAAAAGAAAATAGACTTAGGAAGGGTGAAAGGGAGACCTGGATTTTGAAGGAACCCAGTTCCTATGTTACTCTAAAGGTTTCACTTGGTTTTCCAATTCACTGGGCTGGAGCTGTTCCACACAGAAGAGTGAATTTAATCTCTTTGTTCTTCATGACAATCAGATCCTGTGATCCTCTGCTAATGATTCTGAATACTGATTTTGCTTCCTGTTTCAGTCTGTTTCTCACTTGAGTGGAAGAGACTACTGTTGGCACTCAAGAAGACTGCCTCTCAGCTTGCATGCAGTTGAACTGGTTTCTCCACTTTATGCTATAATCCAAGAAATATTTCCTCCTTCCAACAAGGGCCAACCCAGAGAATTTTTTTCCCAAAAGTTAGAAGAGAGGAAATGCAGAACATTTAAAGAAGGAATATGCTATTATGAGATGGGGATAACCTTGAGACTCACACAGTCATTACTGGATGTGGGTTAAGTAAGTTTTCCCATGTACTAGGAAACTTGTCTCAAGGCAAGTACAATATCATGTTAGAATAAAACTGGAAAATAATAGGGACAAGGCTAAATTATTGATCATAACAAATGTTAAAGGAAATTGTACAGATGGCCCTACAGAATGAAAGTGAGCATAGTGGAAGAAATTTTGCACACTGATATTATCCTAGTTTTCTAAAAAAAATAATAAGCACAGACCAATGTAGAAAGAAAGATGTGCTTTGAACTTGTAGTATGTGTAAAAAGTCAAGGAAGAAAGTTAGAAATTGAAAAAAAAAGAGAGACTATTTACTTCAAACTTGAACTTCCACTTGGTTCTTGTGTAAGACTTAAAGAAATCACTGATGAATATTTTGATGAAATGTTAAAGATTTGATTTTCTTTGCAGGGCAAAGTGGTATGAAGGAGGGGAAAGGATCAGGGACACTAGCAGTATTTCAGTCTTGGTGAATCTCTGAGTGCCATCACACTAGGAATGATATTAGGAAAGGGAAATGGATTCACTATCTGTATGTTGTAATTTCATTGAAAAGTTCAGCTTCTCAATTTTAAAAAATAAATGAAAAAGGTTTTCTTAGACTTACCTCTTTGATTTCACAAATGCACTTTCAAATAATTATCCAATTTGAGGAACCCAATAATTTTATATTGTACTACTCATATATTGCATAAAAGAAATGCTTTTGTTTTAGGGATGATACCCTCCATGATAGTCCCTTACATGACACAGTTAATTTCTCATGTAAAATTTCTGTAATTCATAATATATCTTTACTGTCATCACTTAGTTTTTTATTTCTTTTCTATAATTTTTGTCTGTGAACACAATGGCCCTGTAGAAAAGAATTAACAGAATGCCCTACTGTCAATTGAACTACTTATTTTCAAGCATATCCCTGGTTGACACTGGAGAATCTACTTTCTTTGTTCTTTCCTGTTTCCTAGCATATGATAATGTAGCTAAATTGCTTGTGAGGACAAGTACAGTGTGTGTATCCTTGCTTTTATTTGAAACTGAAATATGGTGTAGGCCAGCAGAGGGGATCTATGTAATCAATCCTATAGGAAAAGTCTTAAGAATGAAGATTCGACATATTCAGAGTTCCTTGCTGATAAGTTTCCATATATGCTCTTAAATTCAATTCAAACAATTTGAATGTGCTCTGTTTACTTTACTGGGGAGGACTCAGAAACTTGTGGTATATTTCTTCCATATTTCATTCCATTCATTTTTACTCTGTTAACTTTCCTCTGCAAACTCACTGTATAATTAGAAACCATGATTTTCTTTTTGCAGTATACTGTGAATCTTTCTAGCAAAGCAATAAACCTGTCTTTGTTCCTGAGGACCTTTGATGCCTTTGATCAAAGGGGTGGCCCAGCTGGAAGGGGTGCCTGAGATGCCTAACTCCTGCTATTAATTCAGGAAAATCAGGCAAACTGGGAAGGACTCATCCCCTCAGAGTTCAAATGCAGAATTATCCCAAGATATGAGAAAAAATGGATTCTTAAAAAAATCACTAATTATATCTTAGCTGCTTTCAATCACATGCATCTACAAATAATACTTTCAACTCCTTCTGCAGGTCCCTAAGAGCAAAGCTATGGAAGCCACCAAAATAGCTATTGATGCTGGGTTCCGCCACATTGATTCCGCTTATTTTTACAAAAATGAAAAAGAAGTAGGTCTGGCCATCCGAAGCAAGATTGCAGATGGCACTGTGAAGAGAGAAGATATATTCTACACTTCAAAGGTAGAGTGTAGATTATGTGTAGGAGAGATGGTTAATGAAATGTTGTGTAGGAGTGATAATTTCTTGATATGCTTCGTAGATGTTAATTATTCCTATTAGTAAAATTGTTATCACACTTTCTCCTGTAACATTCAGTATCACAAAGAGACAAAGACGATAGCTTTCTAATTATTGCTACCTGCAAATTTATATATTTTAAATGAAGTTCCTATGATTTCCTTAGTATCAACTCCAAACAGTGTGACGATTCAGCATGGTTTGTGGAATCAGAGAGAGCTATGAGCTAAATATGATATTCATGATTTCCTGTGTGACTTTTTTAAAATTTCTTATTATTGTAAATATGAATTGACACTTTTTAAAAAGAGTTATTTATTTGTTTGAATAAAGAGACAGAGGAGAGACAAAGAGAGATAGAGCCCTGCCATCTGCTGGATAGCCCTGTGGCTAAAACAGCCAGGTCTGGGCCAGGATGAAGTCAGGATTTGGGAACTCCAATCTGATCTCCTACATGGGTGACAGGGACAAATTACCCAGGCCATTTCTACAGCCTTCCAAAGTACATTAGCAGAAAGGAAGTAGCTAAGTGGAACAGCCAAGTCTCAAACCAGCATTCCAATAAGAGATGCTGGCATTGAAAGTAGTAGCTTAATCCATTGCACACAATATTCAAATATTCAAAATATATTTTCTGGGGGCTGGTGCTGTGGTGCACTAGGTTAATCCTCCGCCTGCAGCGCCAGCATCCCATATGGGTGCCGGTTCAAGTCCCGGCTGCTCCTCTTCCAGTCCAGCTCTCTGCTATGGCCTGGGATAGCAGAAGATCACCCAAGTCCTTGGGCCCCTGCACCCACATGAGAGACCAGGAAGAGGCACCTGGCTCCTAGCTTTGAATCGGTGCAGCTCTGGCCATTGTGGCCAGTTGGGAGGTGAACCAACAGAAGGAATATCTTTCTGTCTTTCTCTCGCATTGTCTGTAACTGTCAAATAAATAAATAAAAATATTAAATATATATATTCTGCTTATTATGTGATTAAAATAGATACTAATTCTTACCATTGAGTTTAATGGTTAGAAGAATCAGACTATTAAATTTGTTTGTAAACTCTTTCAAGCCTAACTGAAATGCTGATCATTAGCATTACATGATAAAATTTTTGTCTCTGGTGTAATTACCTTCCATGCATTGGTGGATTAATGAGTAATAGCTAAATAAGTGAGAGAGGTGATATAGTTAGGTCAGGTCACAGGAAATTCAAAATGGAATGCATTTTCCTTGAGTATTCATCAGCTTCTAACCAAGGGAAAATATCTCAATATTATGTGAAGCAAACCAAGAAATTTAACTAACATATTAATTCACTATCATTTTAATTGCTTAACATTGCAGCTTTGGTGCACTTTTCATAGACCAGAGCTGGTCAGACCAAGCTTGGAAGACTCACTGAAAAATCTTCAATTGGACTATGTTGATCTCTACATTATTCATTTTCCAACAGCTCTGAAGGTAGGCAACCAGCATCATCAAATGTATTTTACTTTGGCTTTTAGCATGACCAACATTTTCATGGACGATTAATTGTCACTGATATAAACTTACTTATTTATTTTTGAATATTTATTTTATTTATGTGAAAGGCAGAGGGACAGAAACAGAAAGACAGAGCTTCCATCTGGTTCGCTCCTCAAATGGCCATTGAAGGTCAGGACAGGGACAGGCTAAAGGTGTGAGCCAGGAAGTCCATGACAGTCTCCCATGTAAGTGGCAGAGGTCCAAGTATTTGGACCATTTTCTGCTGTCTTCCCAGGCATATTAGCAGGGAGCTGGCTAGGGAATTCAGCAACTGGGACTCGAGGCTCAAACTGGTGCTCCAATATGGGATGCTGGTATCACTGGCAATACCTTAATCTGCTGTGCCACAAAGCTGGCCTCTGATATAAATTTTAGAAACAGTTTCTAAGTTATAGACACTGCTCAAAGTAATTAAAGCAATATAGTTTATTTGATTATGTAAAAGCCAGGCCATGAGTAACATACACATTTGAGGTAATGTTAGGAACTGCCTGTATTTATAGCAATCACTTTCTTCTGTATTAATCTATTTTTTGTTGGTTTTGTCTGAACCTTTTATTGGTGGCATAAATGGCCATGTAACAATTATTTTCTCATGGTAATTAATTTTGATAGCTTCTCTGTATCCTTTAGAATTAAAAATTATTGTGATAAAAAAAAGACCTTGAATGACCATCTGTGATTCAAGTATCTGCCCTTGGAACAAAATGTTTTTGGGGAGATGAGCAACATCCACTATTGGTGGAGATCAAGGCCAGGTAACTGGTAACTTTCCCAGTAAATAAGAGATATCTCTCCAGAGGAAAGAACAGAGAACCACAAAGTAACATAAATCTATGGGACCCTATTACAATCTGGAAAGTAGTATTTATTAACATGTATAGTAAACATAAAAGAAAAGAGGAAGTCTGTAGTCTAATGACATTCCTTACAGAATTATATGCAGTGAATTTTGCAAATATGGGAGGTTGCTCATGAAAGTTTATTGCTGTCTCCATAAGTATACCTCAGTGTTTTGCCACGGGTAGAGATCTGAATTTGATGAAATTGTAAAAAAAAAAAAAAAAACAAAAAACTGATTCTGTTCCAGCCTGGGGTGGAGATTATTCCAACAGATGAACATGGAAAGGCAATATTTGACACAGTGGATATCTGTGCCACCTGGGAGGTGAGTACTCACAGGAGAGAGTAAAGAAGAAGTCAGAAGTGGGAGCATCAGATCACATTTCAATTTGTGGGAATGAGATATGCAACTTTGGATCTTGAGATTTGTGTCACCAATAAGTGTTGTACTGTAGTGGAAAGAGAGGAAGGCGATACTGGGATATAACAGAGAGAACTGGGGGCAATGAAATCAGGCATATTTTGCCCCCCATATTCAATAATGTCTTGTTTTCTAAGGAGGATGCAGGAATTATTTTTCTTGCTGCTGATTTTCTCTACTAGCTTTTCTCTTTTGGTTCAGTCAGTGCCCACTAGCCTCACTGTAATTTCTTGACAGTGTTCCTTTTAACTGTGTTGTGCATTTATATTGGCAACCAATTGTGGAAATATTTCTTCACAATCTTTCCTCTCAGGCCATGGAGAAATGCAAAGATGCAGGATTGGCCAAGTCCATCGGGGTATCCAACTTCAACCGCAGGCAGCTAGAGATGATTCTGAACAAGCCAGGGCTCAAGTACAAGCCTGTCTGCAACCAGGTGAGGACTCTGAGCCTTTTCTCCTTTTGTTATTATCCTCTTCTCATACTACTGCCACGTGTCTAGTTGTCCTCCACTCCTGTCAAACTTACTTGGTGTAACAGAAGATTCTATTAGCCGAACCTCTGTATGGAAGGGTATGGATGGGTCTCCATTGTCTCTACATTTTTTAAAGGATGATTAGAAAAAGAAAATGTGATATATATACTCAATAGAAACCTACTTAGCCATAAAAAGAATGAAATCCTGTCTTTTGCCATAAAATGAATGCAATTGGAGACCATTATGCTTATTGAAATACGTCCTCCAAAAAAAAGAGCAAATATCATATGTTTTCTCTGATATGTAGTATTTAATATAGAATACAAAAAACACCAAAGTATAAGAATGAAACTGATATGTTTTGATTGTTTTTTGTAGCCCTTGTCTGTAACCCTGTGAAATAGTGATCTTTCTACTTTTTACTTGTTTCAACAATGTTCACATTGTGGTTAGTGGTACAATAAGCCTGTAATTATAAAGTAAATTAAAAGCATGTAATTGTGAATATTAAAGGGAAAAAAGAGAGAAAGAGAGAGAAAAACGGAAGTAAAGAAGAAAGGAAGAAAAAAGAAAGGAGGAGGGATTCAGGAAGGCAGGTGATGAGGGATGTAAATGTGGTTATCTTCTTATAATTTTCTTAAGGGAAAGGGGTTTTTGGTGGGGAAACCAGACAGACCGGGGGAAGAGACAAAGAAGGAAAAGAGAGAGAAAGAGAGCGTGAGAGAGAGAGAGCAAGAGAATGATCAAGAGACAGAGAGAGTGCAAACGAGAGTATTTTCTTATAATTGTATCTACAAAATACATGAAATCTGTTCTTTATATTACTTAATATTAAAAAGAAGATATGAAGGCTCCAAAATCAACATACACAAATCATGAATATGTAATACTGTTTGTATTAATTAAAATATCAAATAATCATCATTTCTCTGTGAAAACTATGGGATTAGTTTGATTGTAAATATTACTTCATATAATACCATAGACTTGAAAACATACTACATACTTCATTTAGCAACTTAGAAATAAAATGTGTTTTTTTCAGATAAGTTATTACTATGAAATTTTAAAAGCAAGTAATGCAGAAAAAATCAGGTAAAAAAGGATGTGCATATAAGAATTAAACTGGAAATTATGCACAGTATTAAAATAAGCAATTATATATCACATGAAGAAATTATAATGTGTGTGATACCACTGAAATATGTAAATCTATATTAAGACATTTTTGAAGTTGTTGACAAGATGACCTTTTCAAGTCATAGGAAATTTGAATTGAACCATAATTTATATTGTATTTCTATGTGTAAAAATATTTGCTTAACAATATTAGGAAGAATTTACTCTAGAAACATGAACAATTTTCCATGTGATAAACATTTGTTTAAGTGCAATTCAAAAATATATATTTAATTAAGTATAATCTAGTTTATTTTTCAAATAAAATAAATTTATACATGCATAAAGAAACAGAAAATCTGAGGAGATCTTAGTGCTGAAATATATGTAAGAATCTGATCAAGAAAAGCATCAATCATTAATGAAATCACGGGTGGAAGAGAAATTTTCCCCGATCAATGAAGTGTCCAAAGGATGATCACCTGATACAGGAATTGTGATGTGGTGATGTGGAAGGAACTGTGAATAAGAAAGGCCATGAAAACATGGAGTGATAAATAAACACAGAGTGAAATACGTAAGGATAGGTGGTTTGGGTTTGTGTGGTGTTCAGATACCTGAATTTTCTCTCTTGGTATCTGATTTCAGGAATCTTGAACAGAAACATGAATCCAGAAAATATTAATTGGAGACTATATGTGGAAGATAAAAGAAATTACCTATTTATGATGATACTAGTAACTGACAGAAACAACACTCAGGGATATTTTTGGCAAAACTAGAGCCCATCTTGTTCCAAAGCTCACTTCAGTCTGCACCTCCTCCCTGCTTTTTGCCATTGAATTAGCTGTGTAAGAACAAGCATTCTGTACTTGGTTTTGTGTTTAACATAGCTTCTGGCAACTTGAAGTCACCAAGTACAGACCATAAATTTGGTATATAATTATGCAGCATCCTGATTTTCAAATAAAATATCACAAATTAACATTTTCAATATTAACATAATTCCAATTTTTATTATAACCACTTTCAAACATTCAGAAAATTTAATATAATAATATAGATATTTCATATTTTTTCACTTATAGTCAAACTTGTTGATATTTTTCATCTGTCCAAAATAAGCAGACATATATGAGTATGTTTGCATACATATATACAAGATTTTGCTCACTCTCCTAATAGTTTGTGGTAGTAAGCATTGCTATTTATTCCCATATAGTTATAGTTTCACTATTGTATGTAAAAAAGTTAACAATTACTTCCTCCTATCATTTAACATCCAGTGCATATTATAAATTTGCATTGTTGTCCTTTATTGTATTCTACTTAAAGTGTCAGTGTAGTAGTTCACATGATTTTCGTCATTTTTCTCATGCTTTCACCTAAAATAGTCAATTTTGTTTTCCTAAAATATCTAGGTTAACTTTGTCAAATTTTCTGAAACTCTCAGATTGCTGTCTTGTAATAACAGGTTAATTGTTTCTCTACTCCAAGTTCATGTAAATCAGAGGTTAGATTTGAATGTCTTTATTTATTTATTTATTTATTTGAAAGGCCGAGTTACAGATAGAGAGAGAGAGAAGCAGAGAGGTCTTCCATCTGCTGGTTCACTCCCTAAATGTTTGCAATGGCTGGAGCTGAGCCAGTTTGAAATGAGGAACCAGGAGCTTCTTCCAGGTCTCCCATGTACGTGCAGAGTCCCAAGAACTTGGGCCATCTTCTACTGCTTTCCCACGCCATTAGCAGGGAACTGGATTGGAAGTGGAGCAGCCAGTACTCAAACCAGAGCCCATATGAGATACTGGAGCTACAGGTAGTGGCTTTGACTACTATACCACAGTGCCAGCCCCTGAATGTCTTATTACATTAAGTTTAAACATCTTTTTTGTGAAGACAATGTCCTTAGAATGTTGTGTTCCTCAAATTGTACTCTAGTACAAGGTATAGATCTCAACATTTTCTAACAACTGGTGATGTAACTTGTTCACTTGGTTAAGCTAGTTGGAGCCAGATCTCTTCTCTGCATATATACTTCACCCATTGTAATTACTGTAATCTGTTAGTCAATAATATTCAACAGAGAAAGTAATATTCTATAACAAATTTTTATATAACAGGTGATTTTTCATGTGTGATTTTCATGTTAGTTATTTCGTTGGGATTTGTAAATAATTATTTGCATTTAACTATTGTTTTTACTTTTCTTACTTGGCATTGTACTGTAACAATTTATGTACTTTATGTCCATATCAACTATAATTGTCTCTATAAGACAAGGTAAACTTTAAAAACTTCCTTTTATTATAAAAAAGTTACCATAATAATCACTATCAACAGAAGTTAATAGCTTGTTTGTTTCCATCTCTCTCTCTCTATCTCCTTCTGTCTCCCTTTCTCTATCTCCTATTCCGTATATAATTTCTACAGATTTTTATGCACTCTAAATGTTTAAATTGGTTTTACTTATTATACCTTTTGTTGCTGAAGCCCATCCAAAAGCTACCTGTGAGATTCATATTGAGCTGAAATTTTTCTTTTTTCAGAGCTGCTCTAGTGAGTTTTTGTAAAATTTTTGCTCTCAGGCACAGTTCAGTGTCTATGGCTCAAAGTAATGGTTTCTTTATTTTTCCCACATCTGATGTTTATCATGTCTCTCCTCAAGGAAAATGTGATTTAGCAGCCAAGATCTGTTCCACAGATTTGTCTCAGAAATGTCATATTTATAACTTTCCAGGGGACAATATTTTATTCATTGTTTTCAAAATATCATTATTGATGTTAACACGTTCAGTTTACATTTCATTTTTTAATTCAGCTACTTTTTTGCAACATTACCCTTCATATCAAAATTAGCATTTTAATTAATCCTCTGTTTTCCTATTTTGGCCATGTACAGGTGGAATGTCATCCCTATCTCAACCAGGGCAAACTGCTGGAATTCTGCAAGTCAAAAGGCATTGTTCTGGTTGCCTACAGTGCTCTGGGATCACACAGAGAACCAGAATGGTAAAATAACAACAAAAAACACACATAAAATACCTTGTTGATGAAATGTTTTTGGTCACACAATACTTAGTTTTATGGTGTTAACTCAACTGGCTCAGGAAGAGTGAAGTATTTGCATTTCTAGCAAGATCTGATGGTACTGGTTTTCCTGGTCCAGGGACCTCCTTCAAGAAGCACTGGTTTAAAGTAGGTCCTTTATTCTGTTTTGGAAGCCTCATAACAAACTGAATGCTCAGTTATAGGAGTTTGTTTTTCTACCTCTTCTTCCAGGGTGGACCAGAGTGCCCCAGTTCTCCTGGAAGATCCACTCATTGGTGCCTTGGCAAAAAAGCACCAGCAAACTCCAGCCCTGATTGCCCTTCGCTACCAGCTGCAGCGTGGGATTGTGGTCCTGGCCAAGAGTTTCACTGAGAAGCGAATCAAAGAGAACATTCAGGTGATGAAGGCCTGGGTCTGGAGGCATCAAGAATCCCATAGAGTAGCCTTCACACATGTGCTTCTTTTTAAGATGTCAAGAAATCTTTAGGCTAAGTCTGTTTCTCTGTTTTTGGGTATACACTCAAGATTTCTGTATATTTCTGAGACATAATGGCTAGGGAGAATTATGACTGAACAGAAAATAGAAAATCAGGTTTCAGGATTGAATTGGCAATATACTCTCCGCCTTGGGCAAGTGACATATTTCCTTATTCTCTGAAATGAGGTTGTTAGATTAGGTAATTTTTAGTTTACCAATTATTGATTTTATGTTTCATTTCTTATAAAATCTGTATAGCTTCAAATTCATATTTTTGGCTTCAATTTCCCTGTCTTGTGAAATCACCTATTCAGGTCTTTGTCTTTTAGATTGATGGTGCTTGGGTTTTCAAATATGAGACCATTATTATATCATTAACTGTCATAACTGGAAAGCAAAATATCTTCCATGTAGAAGTCTAATATAAAACCATTTTTAAATCTTTTTTTTTGCTTTCAAACTTTTATTTAATGAATATAAATTTCCAAAGTACAGAATATGGATTACAATGGCTTCCCCCCAATAACGTCCCTCCTACCCGCAACCCTCCCCTTTCCTACTCCCTCTCCCCTTTCATTCACATCAAGATTCATTTTCAATTCTCTTTATATACTGAAGATCGGTTTAGCATACATTAAGTAAAGATTTCAGCAGTTTGCTCCCACACAGAAACATAAAGTGAAAAATACTGTTTGAGTACTAGTTATAGCATTAAATCTCAATGTACAGCACACTAAGGACAAAGATCCTACATGAGGAGTAAGTGCACAGTGACTCCTGTTGTTGACTTAACAAATTGACACTCTTGTTTATGGCCTCAGTAATCACCCTAGGCTCTTGTCATGAGCTGCCAAGGCTATGGAAGCCCCCTGAGTTCACCGACTCTGATCATATTTAGACAAGGCCATGGTCAAAGTGGAAGTTCTCTCCTCCCTTCAGGGAAAGGTACCTCCTTCTTTGATGACCCATTCTTTCCACTGGGATCTCACTCGCAGAGATCTTTCATTTAGGTTTTTTTTTTTTTCTCCCCAGGGTGTCTTGGCTTTCCATGCCTGAAATACTCTCATGGGCTTTTCAGCCGGATCCACCTACAGGCCGGCGCCGTGGCTTAATCGGCTAATCTTCTGCCTGTGGTGCCGGCACACCGGGTTCTAGCCCTGGTCGGGGCGCCGGATTCTGTCCCGGTTGCTCCTCTTCCAGGCCAGCTCTCTACTGTGGCCCGGGAGGGCAGTGGAGGATGGCCCTAGTCCTTGGGCCCTGCACCTGCATGGGAGACCAGGAGAAGCACCTGGCTTTGGATCAGCGCAGTGCGCCGCCCGTAGCTGCCATTGGGGGGTGAACAAACGGCAAAGCATTTTTAAATCTTATCACTAAAAACGTTTTTTGGAAATTAGCTTGGACTCAACCTAAACTCTTTGAAGTTGTATTCTATGATGGGCTGTCTGGTATAATTGCAATCAACTCTCTCATATGCTTCATATGCTTTCGAATTATTAGGCAACTCTCTTCTAGGATGTTGATTAGCCTATTTGTGGGGCGTCTCAGCCCTTCTCCATGTAGTTTTTCATCCTACAGAAAATATTCCAGGTTTTTCTCACATGATACAATCCAAATGCAAAGAGTGGATAATTACAAAGCTTTCTTAGAACTGATTAAACATTGCTTTGGGGGAATGCTACCGACCAATGAAATTAACAGGTCAGGCCATATTAAAGTGGTGGGGAGGCCGGCGCCGCAGCTCAACAGGCTAATCCTCCACCTAGCGGTGCCGGCACACCAGGTTCCAGTCCCGGTCGGGGCGCCGGATTCTGTCCCGGTTGCCCCTCTTCCAGGCCAGCTCTCTGCTATGGCCCGGGAGTGCAGTGGAGGATGGCCCAAGTGCTTGGGCCCTGCATCCCATGGGAGACCAGGAGAAGTACCTGGCTCCTGCCTTCGGATCGGCGCGGTGCGCAGGCCACAGCGTGCTAGCCGCGGCGGCCATTGGAGGTGAACCAACAGCAAAGGAAGACCTTTCTCTCTCTCTCTCTCTCTCTCTTTCTCTCCACTCTGTCAAAAAAAAAAAAAAAAAAAGAAGAAGAAAAAAAATTAAAGTGGTGGGGTTATAGATATCATCCCTTAATGGAAGAAGCTGCAAATCTACTTAACAAGGGCATGGAAACTAGCAGAGTGAGGTATTAGAGGATGTACTCTCACAAATTGCACCAATGTTTTCATTTATTCCATAGCATGTCTTCATGATCAAAAGTTCCTACACTTCATGTAATTAAATGTCCATGCTTTTGTTTCTAGTGGATGTGTGCCATATCCTTTCCTCTATTGAGAACTTGACAATATCCTATTACATTATCATATGAAAATGACATTGCCTTTCCTTCTCAACTTAGTTTTTAATTCAACTGAAATTTCTTTTAATCCAATGTAAAACAATTTCGTATACACATATATACAAATATATTTTAAAAAGAATATTAGGGGCAAGTATTTATTGCAATTGTGACACTGTTCAGGATTCAACCAGACCATATAGGAGTGCCTCATTCTGCTTCGGATCCAGCTTCACATTAATGCACATCTTGGAAGGCTCCAAGTGATAACCCAAGTACTTGGATCACTACCACCCTTTTAAGAAATCCACATTGAATTCTAGGCTCCTTACTTCTGCCTAGCCCAGCTCTGGGAGATCTCTCTCTCTCTCTCTCTCTCTCTTTCTTCCCTCTCTTTCCCCCTCTAGTAAATAAATTAAAAGAGTATCAAAGTTTTTCAAAAGAATATGCTTCTGATTTCACTCCTCTTTTTAAAAAAAGTTTATGGTGGAGCAGAGGAAGAAACAGATCTTCCACCCCTGATTCATGCCCCAATGCCTGCAGTGAACAGCCTGAACCAGGCTGAAAGGCAAAATCCTGAAAACCCAACATGGTCTCCCACATGGGTGCCAGGGACTTGAGCCATCTTCTGCTGCTTTCCTTGGTGCATTAGCAGGAAGCTGGACTGGAGAAAGAGCAGCCAGGACTCCAACTCATGCTCTGATATGGATATCAGAATTCCAGATGACAGCTTAACTCACTGTGACACAAGCCAAATGCTTCACTCATCTTTGCAACACATTTATTTACCTAGCTCAAGTGTCTTCATTATGTTGGAAAGTAAGATCTTGCTTTCCAGAGTGTTAAAGCATTGATGAACTTATATTTAAAAAATATCCTGGCTATCGTACTTATTTGTCTATTTTATGAAATTTTAATAACTTTTTAACTTCTTCATAGAGTAAGTCTTTACCAAGTTGCTTGATATAGAACTGAACTATCAGATTTGAGAGATGTGGGGTTTTATTTAGTATTTTTCTTTTATTAAATTCTCAGCTTTATTTTACACTTGAAAAGCAGAGAAAGAAGGAGAGAGTTGGAGAAAGAGAGAGGGAAGGAGGGGGAGAGCGAGAGAGAGATTCTTCTAACCATTGATTACCTTCACTAGCACTACAATGAGCCCAAGACAGGAGCCTAGAACTCTTCATCTCCTATGTGACTGACAGAGACACAATTAAGCCATCACCTGTTACCTTACAAGTTATAAATAAGCAGGAAATTGGAATGTGAATTAGAGATGAAACAGGAACTGAGTCATTCTGATAGGAAGTATGTTTGTCTTAAGGACCTTCTCAGTGCTGCATCAAATGCCGATGCTGAGAATTGAATTTTTCACAATGCTGAGGTTTATGTATACAAAATTCCAATTATTTAGGTGGTTTCTTTAATATATTTCAATATATTTCATGACTTTCTCTAAAAAGGTATTTTCATATATTTTGTCAGGTTTACTATAAAGAATATAATTCTGATAGTCTTTAATTGCTTTTTCCTTTCTGTTTTGAGCATTTTCAAATGTACAGGAAAGTTAAAAGAATTATAGAATGAAAACCTATTACCTGAATTCATCAATTATTGAGTTGGAGACTTCTAAATTCTTTCTCTGTATCATGTTTTTGGGATATTGCTATTAATTTATATGGGTAGTCCATACATTAGCAAACTCTAATCATCAATTTGATGTTTAATGTTCCTCTAACACAGACAGTGAGATCCATTTCAAGCAAGTTCCTGTGTCCTTTGAATACAACATTATAAATGGAAAATTCTTGTCTTAAATATAGTTGAAAGGATTTTTTTCTTATTCTAATTTTTTGTTGATGGGATATAAAAACTCAACTGTATCAAATGACTTTATTAAATTATTTCATATATTTCAAAGTTTGCCTTTAGATTCTTCTCAATTTTCGTGCATGGCTGCCTCATCTTTAAATAATGTCAGCTTTGTTTGTTCTCAGATAATTTTGAGATTTCATTTTATCTGTAGAGCAGTACAATTTGAATCAATTATATCTAGTAATGCATTTCTTGCGTTTTCAAAGCAAAAATTGTTAGGTAGTAATACAATGAGTTCCCATATGCCTCTGTTAACATCTCACTTTGTTATATATGTCACAATTAATGAACCACATCCAGCTTTCCCTAGTTTCTATTCCATGCTCCTTTTATCCGTCCTATTTCTCTCAGTCTCAAGTAATTAACGGTTGTGTTCAGAATTTTTTTTTTTGACAGAGTTAGTGAGAGAGAGAGAGACAGAGAGAGAAAAGTCTTCCTTCCGTTGGTGCACCCCCCAAATGACTACCACGGCCGGCGAACCACGCCGATCTGAAGCCAGGAACCAGGTGCTTCTCCTGATCTCCCATGCGGGTGCAGGGCCCAAGCACTTGGGCCATCCTCCACTGCCCTCCCGGGCCACAGCAGAGAGCTGGACTGGAAGAGGAGCAACCGGGACAGAATCCGGCACCCCAACCAGGACTATAACCCAGGGTGCCGGCGCCGCAGGCGGAGGATTAGCCTAGTGAGCCGCAGCACCGGCCTGTGCTCAGAATTTTTAAAGAAAATTAAACTTCCACATGTATAGGAGAACCTGTGACAATTATTTTGCTGTGTCTGACGTATTTCATTCAACATGAAATCCTTTAGTTCCATCCATTTTTTTGCAAATGACAAGATTTCATCCTTTTTCTTAAAGCTGAGTAATATTCCATTGAATATATTTACCACATTTTGTTTATCCTTTCATCTGATGATGAACACCTTGATTAATTCCATGGCTTGGCTATTGGCTATTGTGAACAGTGCTGCTATAAATATGGTGGAGAGGTTTATCTTTAATACAATTAGTGTATGTATTTTGAATATACACTCAGTGATGGGATTGCTGGATCTTATGGCAGTTACATTTCTAATTTTTAAAGAAATCTCCATACTATTCTCCATGGTGTTGCACTAATTTACATTCCCCTCAACAGTGTATAAGTGTTCCCCTTTCTCCACAACCCTATCAGCACCTGTTACTCTCTTTTTGATAAATCCATTCTGAGGGGATGAGGTGATATTCTCATTGTGGTTTTGCTTTTCATTTCCCTGATGGCTAGTGATTTTGAGCACTTTTCACATATTTATTGGTTATTTTTTATTTCTTCTTTGGAGAAGTGTCTATTCAGGTACTTTGCCCATTTCTTAACTGGATTGGTTGGGTTTTTTTGTTATTGTTGAGTTTTTACATTGCTTATATTCTCAATAGTAATCCTTTGCCAGGTAAGTTACTGTGAATATTTTCTCCTGCCTTTAACGTCTCTTTAATCTATTGATTTTGCCCTTTGCTGTGCAGAAGCTTCTGAGTTTGTTTGGTTTTATTTGTGTTGCCTGCACTTTTGTGGTCTTACCCAAGAAATTATCATTTACACTAATGTCTTAAAGTTTTATCCTGAGTTTTCTTTTAACATTTGTGTAGCTTTAGGTCTTATATTTAGGTACTTGATCCATCTAGTGTTGGTTTGGAGGTACACTGAGTGATAGATATCTAATTCCTCCACGTTTGTATGTCCAGTTTTGCCAGCACCATTATTGTAAAGGCTGTATTTTCTCCAGTGTATGATTTTGGCACCTTTGTCAAAATAGTTGGCTGTATATATATGGATTTATTTTTCATACAATATTTACTGATGACTTGAAAATTTTGTTCAACGTCTCAAATTGTCTGGAAACTCTTGAGATATTTTAACTATTTTCTTTGAAGTATTCGATCTAACTTACTGAGATTTTCCAGACCAACAAATGAAAAGATGAAAATAACAAAATTTTTCTACTTCTCTAATAGGTATTTGAATTCCAGTTGCCTTCAGAGGACATGAAAGTCATAGATAGTCTGAACAGAAATTTTCGATACGTTACTGCTGATTTGTAAGTGACTTTGGTAAATTTATTTTTTGAGGATGAATGTATAAAAGGATACTAGTCTCTATTCACCATGCACTGTGTTGATAATCAATGTGGATGATTAAATCTTTACAAAACTGAAATATTTTACTTCATTTGTCTCAAACCTCCTCAATTCTTGTAAGATTGAGGATAGCTCCATCAGCTCTGTGGTCCTAAACAGAAATTCTTATTACCTCCATATGGAATTGTTCATTAGATCCCTTCAACTTAATTTCTATAAGAGTTTAAAATTTCTCTCTTCATTTTTATTGCATTTTTCTTAAAGAACAAACAACTGGATTTACCTTTAAAAAGGCTGTCCAAATATTTCAGTAGAAACACTTTGCTATGATTTTCTAAAATATGGTGATCTCAATGCAGATGATGAAGACTTAAAGGTAGATTTAAAATCAAGGAATGGGAATATAGGCTTAAAAACAATCATGGAAGAGAATTTACACAAAGAAAAGATCTTTATTCTTCTTTTGAGCTGTAAGATTTTAGAATCTAATAAGAAATACAAACTGTACATGAGAGTAGCAAGGAATATACACACCTGTGGGGCTTTTAACTTGTGATATTAATAAATGTAATAATGAAAGAGATCAGGATAAAGAAAGAAATTAGCATGATGCAAAATTGTGTGTACTCAAAATTGGTCGCTATGTTATGATTTGTAATGATTTTATTAGTATAAGGGAAAATGAATGTGACAGGGCCAAAATGCAAAGAGAAAAAGAAAGTGACAAAAAAATCATTAATCCTTACTCTCCTTTAAATATTTTAATAAGTATTTATTTTTTAGCACATTGTGTTTCTGTAGTTGTTAAACAGAGATATGTAAATTATGCAGGAAGCTCTATAGACATGGAACTCTATCTTATCAATGACATTCTTCCCATTTCCTAATCTAATTTGTTATACTGTATCTGATGGGCAATGAGCAAAGAATTAGTAAAAGGAATGTTAAATTGCTAACAGTAATCAATACCCCTGAAATATTTTTTTAGTATTGAATAGCATGTGGATGTGTCTTTGTTCAAAAATAGGCAAAGTAAATTTCAATTTTCCTTGAAAATTTGTTTTTTTCTGATACTTTATTTTTTCAAATTATTGCAATGTTAGTAAAAAGACAACAAATTCAATATGCTTATATACAGTTATAAGAATATCATTATATTCTCTTCTTCTCTCCCAACCTCCCTCTCTTTTCCTCTCCCTTTCCTAATTCTTTTTGCTTTCCTTCTTCCTTGAGAATTTTATGTAAGAGAGCAGTGGGTATCACTTTGCATTATTGAAAGATGCAGCTATGGGTGAGAAATGTTATTGAATTTTTTATTCTACATGTTTTATATGTTAAATTTCTGGCAAAGGACTATGATTTGAAAAAAAGTTACATGTGATTAAATGTATGTATTATAAAGAAATGCTCACGAATATAAACAGATTTTACAATTTTACAGAAAACAAAACTATTAACTTTGATGGTAATTTCACATAAATCGCTTATTTATTATTCTAGAAATGTATTTATTGAGTTTAGACTGTATATTCTTCTCATTTTAGTGCTATTGGACATCCAAATTACCCATTTTCTGATGAATATTAATATCGAAGCCTTTGTCAGACTTCTACCAGAAGACCCTTTCTTGTGAATCATGATGCAGGAGACACCTCAGATGCTGGTGAATGGGCACCTCTCTTCTGATTAATCCATGCTGATTAGCAACTCACACTCAGCTAGAGCTAAATCCACAAAGTGGGAAGCCTTGGCACTACATTTTGTCACTTCCTGAAAAATAAAATAATGTTTATTAAAAATGCTTAACTACCATAGATGCTGTTACTTATTTGTTTCATTCTGACTCCTAAGTCCCCACCTCATTGATTTTCTTAGAAGACTGGAGTCCTCTAATGGGAGATGGTTACAACTATTCCTTAGATGTGGCTGATTGGATGTGTGAAATTGGATGACAATTAGCAAAGGTTTTTTCCAATTTTTCTGCAGTGTTTCAAAAACAAGAACACTCACTTCACAGAGCATGGGAGGTGAGGCAATAGTGCAAGAGTGACCAACAGTGCAGGGGTTCCCCTACAGAAGTTCAAGAATCAGAGCTCCAGACTCAGGTATTAGGAATCCCTGGGGGTAGGCTAGTCAGTGACTTAAGGGGAGGAACCAGCCTGGAAGGATGATTGGGGTAGGGGATGGGGGAAATTGAGGAGGATGGAGTTGAGCACGTCTCTGCTTGGGAACGTTGACAAATAATCTTCATAATTATATCTGCTGATAAAAACTAATTTTCCATATATTTTATTGAAGAGTCAAAGCTGAGACTCAGGCTTAGTCTGTTCATGTCCTAGTCTATTCATTTCGCTATAGCTGGATAGGAAATCAGGGAAACAACTGACTGATATGGAGAATCTCAGGTTATGTGATATTAATATTCCTATTTCAAGGAATATGTATATGTACTTAGGTAAATATATGCACATAATATCTATATATGAAGTAAAATACAGCAAAATGCTAAAAATTGTTAAATCTTAAAAATATATATTAAAAATATAATAGAATATAGTTTGGAGGAAAACTCTCAAAAGCATACATTTAGTAATCTGGATTATAAAAAATACTTCCCTGTGTATCAACTCCATTATAACTCAGTTTTCTCAGGATTTAAAGTAAATTTGATTGTCTTAAGTGTTTGATGATTTTAAATATTATAAACATAGAATCTGTCCAAAAAGTATAAAACACAAATATTCCGAAGTCATTACATATTAGTGTTAAGTAAATATTTAAAATGTTAAATTATGTGTCAGTGTAAGTATGAAAACAGATTTGAGAAAACATTTCTGAAGAAGCAGAAAATTCTTTGTAAAGAAAGAATTTGAAACAACTGTCTTAGGCCAGCGCTGCGGCTCACTAGGCTAATCCTCCACCTTGCGCCGCCAGCACACCGGGTTCTAGTGCCGGTCGGGGTGCCGGATTCTGTCCCGGTTGCCCCTCTTCCAGGCCAGCTCTCTGCTGTGGCCAGGGAGTGCAGTGGAGGATGGCCCAGGTGCTTGGGCGCTGCACCCCATGGGAGACCAGGATAAGTACCTGGCTCCTGCCATCGGATCAGCGAGGTGCGCCGGCCGCAGAGCGCTGGCCGCAGCGGCCATTGGAGGGTGAACCAACGGCAAAAAGGAAGACCTTTCTCTCTGTCTCTCTCTCTCACTGTCCACTCTGCCTGTCAAAATAAAATAAAAAAAAAAACTGTCTTGATGACAAATTGCTAAACGCAATTATGTTCCTAAATCTATATATGAAATATTTGAAACTTGTATAACAAATAAAATTTTAAAAATATACTGAGTGAAGTAAAAATAAATCATAAAACTAATAAATAAAATAAGAACAACTAAGGTATGCAAATTATATACTAAAAAAACAAACATAAATTCTGGAGCTTAATAGTACACAAAATAGCCTTCAAAAATGAAAGAAAGGGCAGGCACTTGGAGTTGTAGTTAAGACTCCACTTGGGACAACTATGGAGTCTTGAATCTGCTCTCAGTAACAGCTTCCTGAGAATCACCCTAGTGGGCAGCAGTATATAACGCATATAGTTAAATCCCTGCCATTCATGTGAGAGAATAGGATTGAATCCCTCCTCTTGACTTTGGCTTGGCCCCCACATCAGCTGTTACAGTCATTTGTAGAGTGAACTAGTGAATGGAAGGCCTCTGTCTCTGTCACCTCCCTGCCTCTCATATAAATAAATAACATTTTCAATGGGGAGGAGCTATTGAGATGATCTCAAATAAACAAAGTCTAAATAATTAATTAGTACTGAAATTGCCATACAGGAATGTCAAAGGGTAAATAATTAATTAGTACTGAAATTGCCATACAGGAATGTCAAAGGGAGTTAATCAGGTTGAGGTGAAAACATGCTGGACAGTTAACTCAATACTATATAAAGTTAAGAGCCAAATATATAGCCATGGGTAAAGTATATATTTTGAAAATTTTGATGCATCACTATCTTTTTACCTTTAGGTATTGAAAGGTAAATACATGCAAATAAGCATCAACCTATATATATATAAACACACACACACACTATGGATAAAGTTCTAATCAGTAACATAAAGTGATGCAAGAGAATTACAAATAATCAGATTTTTAAAGTTGCTATTCAAATTAGATTCATAAATTCAATGTAGATTGGTATAACTTTTATGTCAAAAACAGTGACATGAGGAGTAGGTGTTTGACCTAGTGGTTAAGATGTTAGTTAGGATGATTATGTCCTGTGACAGAGCACCTGAGTTTTACCCTAGGTTTCAGTTTCTGATTTTGGTTTTCTGCCAATGCAGACCTGCGAAGAAATGTTGATAGCTCATGTCATGGAGTTCCTGCCACCCGTGTAGAAACGCTGGATTGAGTTATTTTCTCCTGATATCAGCCCCCGAGCTATCCAGACATTTTGAGAGTAAATAAGCTAATGGGAATACATTTTCTCTCAAATAAATAAACAAAAATTTTAAAAATTAATAAGAGAAATAAGAACACTGTTTTAAATTTGTCAACTAGTCAATGATATAGCTAATAAAAACATACATACAGGACCGGCGCCGCGGCTCACTAGGCTAATCCTCCGCCTTGCGGCGCCAGCACACCGGGTTCTAGTCCCGGTCGGGGCCCCGGATTCTGTCCCGGTTGCCCCTCTTCCAGGCCAGCCCTCTGCTGTGGCCAGGGAGTGCAGTGGAGGATGGCCCAGGTGCTTGGGCCCTGCACCCCATGGGAGACCAGGGAAAGCACCTGGCTCCTGGCTCCTGCCATCGGATCAGCGCGGTGCGCCGGCCGCAGCGCGCCGGCCGCTGCGGCCATTGGAGGGTGAACCAACGGCAAAGGAAGACCTTTCTCTCTGTCTCTCTCTCTCACTGTCCACTCTGCCTGTCAAAAAATAAAGAAAGAAAGAAAGAAAGAAAAAAAGAAAGAAAGAAAGAAAAAAAACATACAAACAACATACATAAAAGCTACAAATTATACACAATACACAAAATATACAAAAAAACACTGAAACAATTGAAGGAACTGACCACAACAATATTAGTTGGAAACCTTAAAACCCATCTTTTAATAATAGCAGGAAATTGACAAAAATATTCTAATAAACTGCATGCCAAAAATGTAATAATCCAAATCAAAGAAACCAATACCTAGAATCATGCATCCTACAAAAATTAATGAAAAAATAGAAAATTGGAATACAGCTTATAGTATGGAGATCGAATCAGTAAGCAAAATCCTTCTAACAAAGAAGTGTTTTGTAACAGATGACTTAATAAAACCTTTTTATATGACTTAAAAAAATTTAGAAAAAGAAAAACTTGCAGATACTCATTCTATGAGATCAACCTTACTCTATATCAAAACCAGACAAAGGCACTACAAGAAAGAAAATTACAAATATTCATATACAGTGATTAGATTGAATCAGTAATAAACAGTCTCCCCACAAAGAAAAGCCTAGGGTTACATGATTTCGTTGATGAATTCTACTGAACATTCAAAGAATTAAGAGTAAATCTTCCCAAACTACTTGAAAATACTGAAAAGGAGGGAACCCTTTCAAACATACTTGATGAGAAAAGAGTTATCATAATTCCCAAACCAGACAAATGTACAACAACAATAAAAACAGCATAGATCAATAATTCTTATGAACATATCCTAATCAAAATATTGGCAAAGCTTGCACTGTGGTGTAGCATGTAATGCCACCACCTGCAGTGCTTGCATCCCACATGGGCACCTGTTTGAGTCCTCGCTACTCTACTTTCAGTCCAGCACTCTGATATGGCCTGGGAAAGCAGTAGAAGATGGCCTAAACCCTTGGACCCCTGCACCCATATGGAAAGACCTGGAAGAAGCTCCTGGCTCCTGGCTCCTGGCTTTGGATCGGCAAAGCTCCAGCAGTTGTGACCCTTTGGAGAGTGAACCAGTGGATGCCTCTCATTCTCTCTGTGTAACTCTTTCAAATAAATAGTTTTTTAAAAAATAAAAAAATAATTTAAAAATACTGGCAAATCAAATTCCATAACATATCAACAAGATCATTCTCCTTGGTACTGGAATTGTGGCATAGAGCATAAAGTTGTTGTCTGCAATGCCAGCATCCAATATGGGTCCCAGTTTGTGTCTCAGCTGCTGCACTTCTGGTCCAGCTCTCTGCGAATGGCCTGGGAAAAGCAGCAGAAGATATCCCAAGTTCTTGGGCCCCTGCCACCCCATGGGAAACCCATATCCTAATTGTGGCCTGGCTCAGTCCCGGCCAATGCAGTCACTTAGGGAGTGAACTCATGAATGGAAATCTCTCTGTCTCTCCATCTTTATATATGTTTAATTTCCAAATAAATAAATAAATCTTACAAAGAAAAAAAAGAAATTTTGGACGTTTAAGAACAAAAGGGTCATTCACCCTGACAAAGATGGATTTACTACCGAGATATACTACTGGCTGAACATGAAAACGTCAATAAACAATATACATCACATCAACAGAATGCAGGATCAAAATCTGTCATTTCAGTAGATATAAAGAATGCATTTGATAAAATTAAATGTCGATTCATGATAAAAAGCCAAAAAACTTGAATAAATTATATACAGAAGGAGCATATCACAACACAATAAGGGTTATTTATGACAAGCCCACAGCAGCACTTTAATAAACTGAGAAAAATCAGAAAGCATTGCCACTAAAATCTGGTTCAGACAAGTAATTACACTCCTAAAACTCTATTCAGTGTGGTACTGGAAGTTTCAGTTGATTATTAGA